GCCCCGACCAGCAGGCCTAAAAGAAGACGAAATGAATCCCTTCGTCTCCGGCGGACAGCAGGCCTATAACTACACATACATGCTAACCTATTCCTTCCCAAGACACAGAAAGACTGAGCGGAAAACAGACTTAGATTCAGGCAAAAACACAGGCATCACCAACAGGTCATACACTCTCGAAAATACACTGCAAAATAGACTCACACTCAAATTCAGCCAAACACATAGACAGACATACAGACAGACAGACAGAGGGAAAGATGCCCCGACCAGCAGGCCTAAAAGAAGACGAAATGAATCCCTTCGTCTCCGGCGGACAGCAGGCCTATAACTACACATACATGCTAGCCTACTCCTTCCCAAGACACAGAAAGACTGAGCGGAAAACAGACATAGATTCAGGCAAAAACACAAGCATCACCAACAGGTCATACACTCTCGAAAATACACTGCAAAATAGACTCACACTCAAATTCAGCAAAACACATCGAAGACAACGCCTTTCTCAGAAAAGGGGGGCTTCTCAGTCCGTAACTGGGCAGGTCATTCCAGAGGTCTATAAATAGAGAGGCAGCGACAAAGTGGGCTACAGATAGAGTGATGTCAAACCTTGGCCAGAAAGGCATCACGGAACATCCTCCCCCTCTCCTTCAGCTTGGACTCGTCCAAATTGCTGGACCTCAAGGACATTGCAAAGGATAACACAAACACAGCACATTTTCGCAGATTCAAACAAAACAGATCGAGGAAGAGCGGCCATGGCTGGAAAAAAGGGCGGAACTCGACCTAACTGCCGCCATCTGTGTCACCTTTTTTTACTTTGTACTTTTCCTGTTTTCGAACAATTCAATGTTTTCATGTGATGGCTACCCTACCAGTAGCCAGTAGCCAGAGTCTTTTTGAGTCGCTGGAACATCCCCACCACGTCCCTGGCAATTTCTACTTCTACCCCTATAATTTCCAATAAAGTCCTGTAGCCAAATTTCAGGTTTGCCCCTGTAACTACACATATGTTCTCGCCTGCTCCTGTAACAGTCGAAAGACACAAGCCGTCCATTCTCACGGAGAAGAGGAGCACAAGCTTCCAGAAGCACGGTATTCTCAATTAAAACCAAATTTGTCGGTCAGTATTGTAATGACCCGCCAAAACACCGACTGAGAACACTGCTGATTTCTGGGTTTCACATCTGGATTGTATGCCTTGCTGAGATCCCTGCATTCTGCTGAGTTTTCTAAGTCTGTGTGTGTGCGTGCCTGCTTGTCTGTGTGCCTGTCCGAGTGCTTGTCAGCCCAAAAGTGCGTGTGACCCGCAAGGCTACTTGTTCGTTTGGAGACCCTGCAGGGCCGGTACTTACCTGTGGCCGTGACTTCGAGGGTTGCAGCGGGAAAAACACTCAAGTTGCAGGGCTAGGCCCGCGACACTTAGAGCAGCTGGAAAAACACTCCAGTAGCAGATAGGCCGGTACCACTCAAGTAGTGGTAGAAGTATTGGGTACTCTAGGCCGTGCAGAAGAAGACAAAAGTTGGCATTTTTAGAGGCCGAGTAGCGGTAGGCTAGAGGCAGGCCTGTACCAGTCCAAGTAGCCTGAGTCTAGGGCCTGCATGGACGATATCAGAGCCTGCAATGATGTTTCCCTCCGAAAGGTAGGAGGTACCGGTTGCTGGGAGGCCGCGCGGCCTAGGAAGTCACCACCCAAGAGGCAAGTAGGCCGCTGTATCTTCGGGAGGAGCAAGTGGCCCCTCCTCATTTGCAGTCAGCAAGGTTGAGCGACATACTGCTTGAGCGGGCAGCCGGACTCAGACTGCTGCCTGGGAGGACGAAGAGCAGCTGGGCGCTCAGCCTGCCTATGGCCAGCAGCCCAGCCTGAGGTGGAGGAAGAAGGGGGCAACGGAGGAGAGTGGCGAGGTACCTACCAGGCTATGGTGGACACCATCTTCATCACCTTGATAGGTGCTGCATCCGGAAGGCCCCATTTGGGATGGTGCCGCTCCAAGGAAGCTTTGAGGCAGAGTCACGCATTGCCGCCCGAAGTAGCTGCTTTGAGTTGTCTTTTGCACAGGAGGGCAGAGCCCTTCGTAGTCCGCCATAGCCTTGGCATTTGAGAGGAAGGTGAAGGGTGAAGCCATGGCTATTGTGGACCTGTTGTTGTGCTGGCAGTAAGAGGGAACTTCGGATATTGATTCTGGTTCATCCACTCATTGTTATTATTATTATTCGAAAGAAGACTAAGATTCGTGAAGATCAGGAGGAGGAGGAAGGTGGAGGGAAAGGGGATTTGTCATTGCTCTTGCTGGTGTACATCTTCTTCTTCTTCTTCTTCTTCTTCTTCTCCTTCTTCTTCTTCTTCTTCTTCTTCTTTCTCTCTTTGTCTTTGGTCTCTATCTCTTTGCAAGTGCTTTCATTTGTTTCGCAATTGGGTGGAATTGTCTTTCCTTGTGAATTTGCACTTCAGAAATGACCAGGATCATAACAGTCTATTATTTTAACACTAACATACTATCCTAAATTTCCAAACCCTTAGCAAGCATCGGCCGCAGGCAACATTGAGCGGGCAGAAGTTTTTGCAAAGGCCCTTCGATGAGGACCATCGATGGTCGAGTGCGCGCAGAGAGGTGTTTTTCACCGAACCGTTAGTTGCGTGCCTACTAAGGAGGGCGCAACATAGATTGGAGAGGGCAAGGATGGCCGTGGACGGAAAGGAATATCTGTGAAACAAGGCCATCCGATTATAGGACTCAGTAGGAGTTGTCATTTTCGGTTGGCATGGGTTTTCTCGCAGAAGCTGTTTGTCATTTTCAGGAACTAAATTGTTCTTTGTCTTTCTGTGTGGGTATCGCCCGCACCGCTGGCGATTAGTTACCGTCTTCATCCGGATACAATACCCGACCATTATAGCTGTATTTGGGGCAACTTCCCATCCAGATACAGCGATAACGACCCAGCATTGTGTCCGGGTGAAGACGGTAGTTCACAATTACACGGGATGCTACACAATTTCTGGCGGAGTTCACCCCAGAAATCTACCTACAAAAGCATTCAGACTTTAAGAATGTTGAGCTCAGCGAGGATTCGAGCACTAAACCTGGCCCTAGTATGAGGCAAGTCTGGCCTGCACTTATTTTCGTTGTTTCGTGCTTCATTACTGAGCAGATCGGAAGCAAGCACCTAATAAACTGTAGAGAGTCTAGAGACTCTGTTAACTGACACACAGGGACCTGGACTCCTAGATTCCTCTAGACTAGAGCCCGATAGGACGTGGCCCAGGCAAAGATACTTTGACAAGAGTAGCAACGAGCAGCAGTTTCCACTCCGGTTCTCGTTCAACCTCGTTTTGCAATGACTGGAAAAAGAGCCATGCTATTTTTAGTACATGAAACCGAGGTTCTGCGTGTAGCCATTGCCAGTTCAAACTCACAGTTTACTCCATCATTTCAGGCCCAGGGCAGCCAGGCGCCAATCTCTCTCTCTCTCTCTCTCTCTCTCTCTCTCTCTCTCTCTCTCTCTCTCTCTCTCTCTCTCTCT